TATTATAATATTTATTTAAAAAATTTAATATTTGCGGGTATCCGTGGATATCTACGGGTATCACTGATTTTAAAATACCCGCGGATATTTTTTAAGCAGGTATCCGTGCGGGTAGCGGATGAATTTTTTTCTGTCGGATTGGGTTGTGGGTAGGCACTATCCGTACCCGACCCGACCCATTGTCATCCCATACACTCCCGGTATACTTGGTAAATATTCAAGATTTATATATAGTATACAGATTATTTATCAAAAAATATATTTGTAATATTATCTCTTATATTAATAAGGTGTTAATTGAGGTTATTTAATAAAAAATTCAAGAAAACAAACAAAATATAAGAAACTTATTTATATACATCATGTCAATTCAATAATAGCTTTATTAAATAATCATACATTAAGATTGTTTTAGGTCGCAGTAATATAATTTTTAGGACATAAAAATTTAATTATACTGTTGCATCAAATAATTTCAAATAAGAAATATTAAAAGAAATCCAGCTCGAAACAACAATTTTGTTTACATGTTTAAAATTCACCCTCAAAATTTAAATAGAGAAAAGTGGAAATCGTTATTATTTTCAACCAACAAAAACATTAAATTATGATATAAAGATTAAGTCCAGAAGAGAAGAAAAAAAAAAACAAAGCCTCATAAAATACCCTTCATTCAATTGAAACATCCAAAATATTTGTGAAAACTGCGTCCAAAAATGAAATAATAAGAAATAAATTCTTAGCAATGAAACAGAACAACTATAACAAAATAAATAAGAATAAGAATATATTAATACATATTTTTTTAACAATATTTTGATATAACGTATATTTTTTTTATTAAATTTATAATAAATTATGAATTAGTGAAAAAAATAATATATATACATATTAAAATATTTTCAAAAAATCTGCATCAAAATATATTTTTCCAAACAATATAGTAGTTTTGCATGTATAAGGGTTATAAGTAATTAAGAAGCACTATCTCACCAGTTTATTTTATTGTAGATACTTGTTTGTTTTGATCTCATGTGACTTACTGAAAAATTATGTTTTAAATTTATAATAAAGATGATCATATATATATATATATATATATATATATATATATATATGGATTTGCTAACGCGGGTACACCTATTTTTCAGTTGATACATTTTATTTTAACAATGTGTACCGAGTTTTAGTAGACAAAAGTATCCTTATATATCATGAATTTTAAGTTTTAAAGTTAAGGATATTTTAATAATTTTTCTTCTAAAAAAAAAGAATGAGTACAATAATGTTATTTCACTCCAATCTTTTATTTGTATATAGATATTAAAAAGTAAATTTAAGTTTAATTTATTTTTTACAAAATTAATTTATAAAATATTTTTTTTAATATATGATTATATTGCTTTAGTTGATATGAAATTTCAATATATTTCACACACATTGAAATATGACATAAATATTTTTTTGTGTGAAACTAAATTTACGTGAGTAGTAATGGTAGCCGAAAAATTAGTAGCATAATAAATTTAATAAATCCCATTAAAATGGAGTACGATATTATATAAAAAAAAAAATTAACTTAGTTTATATTGACAAAAATACTAACTTTAATGCTTGTTCTAATTCTAATAGTATATATGTATCCTGTATTTAATCAATAAAAGATCTCTAACAATTTAAAAATATAGTTAATATAAAAAAGACATGATATAGACGTAAGATAATAACGATCTATTTTTACAATATATTATCCTGAACGCTAACTGTTTGTTTTATTTGTATATATGATTAGTTTTAGTGTTAAAGTTACTTGTTTTGGAGGTACATATAAAGCTAAAAAGCTACAAATTATATTAAAAAAGGACACATTAATATATAATATTGGTTATGATCTTTCTAGTTCTAGTCATAAAAATAATAATAAATGCATTGGTGCTATGACAGTTGTCTTAACTTATTTTTATTATAAAAAAACATCATTAACATTGTTAATGACA